AGCAAACCCTGCACCTGCAAGATTTTTATTCACAACGCCCTGCACTTAATGATGACAATCATTTCAAGTCCTCTGTAAGAAAGGGCCATTTTTAGAATAAATGCACAGGCAAAAACTTGTAATTCATGCTGTGAAGCATGGCCTCTTACCTGCAATGCAACATCCTTTAGTTCAGCCCCAGAGATCTCGACAGCATCCTTTTCTTCACTGCTATGGCTGCAAAGGCAGTGATGTCATATGGAGGAAGCAGTAATCATCACATGACTCTGCACGCTCTCTGTTGGAGACATGCTAGAGAGACAGGCAGCAACTGGCTTTTCTGATCCTTCAGGATTAGAACAGGCTTTGTTAAATCATCCTTGTGCCTTTACAGCTTACCCCCCACAGTATGCACTTGTTTTATGGGGGTGCTATGACCTGGGTATGTATTTATAGAGGCAAGTTTTGTGTTGTTTTTGAAGAAAGCTTTTAATAGAAAGTATATTTTGGAATCTGGTTTTTAAATTTGTCTTTTAAAATGGTTTTCAATCAATTCTAAAAATCTGTAGTGACTTTATTGAGAGCTCTAGTGAGCAGAAAAGCAAAAAATTGTTCAAATACACAAATCTTCTTAACTGAAAGGAAGGATGTTCACAGGCAAACAATACTTTATTCAGTGTTTGATATTGGATTACATCAGAAATAAAGGAGACAAAATGACACCTAGTTGTACGTTAAGTTACCTTGAAAGAGAATCACAAGATAATCCAAATGGAATATATCTGTGGTAAACTGAATACTGGAACCTTTAGTGTGGCATTCGGGCACTGAAGTCGAAATCTGGTACAAGTATTTCCCCTCAGTTGTTGCTTTGGTGGGAGAATTGGTTAGCTGTGAATCAGAGGGAAATAAAACATGCAGATAGTGACGACTGAATTGGAGGATGGGGTATGTAACAAAGGTAGGCAGGCAGCAAGGACATGATTCTTCTGAAGACATGGAGGGATATGTACAACAACAGAGTCCTGTTGAAAGTCACTTGGAAAATTCTCCCAGGTTGGAAAATTCTGGGAGCTGTGATTCCAGAAAAATGACTTCTGTGCTGAGTAGATGAAAGGTACTGTATGTTTATGTGCTTGTCATATTCTCTTGCCATCTTTCTCTGTCTTTCTTGGCATACAGAAATTCAGTTTTATCAGACTTGATCAGGCCACTAGTTCTAGCCAATTCTGTAGTTTGACCTCTTCAAGGTCAATTCAAGAGTGCGAAAGACAAACAGAATCCTCACAGTCCAATATTCCACTCAACATACACTTCTGCACACTGTGGATGACTGGGCAAAGCACCATTTCAATATTAAAGCTATTTTGGCAATAGTTTGCTGTACCCATTTTAAAGGAATTATTTGCACACACCGTTTTAGACCTGCAGTAATCAAAGTCGGCTTTCCTACTTTCACGTAACTGCTTGGCTTCCTCAGATAAGCTGTGATAAAAGTCACAATTGACTTATTGACTGACTGATGATTGACTGATTTGCTGCCTTTCTCCCCATAGGAGACCCAAGGAAGCTCACAACAGATTCTTAACTACTGAACAACAATGTCTTGAGCCCTGATAAAAATAGGGCCTGTCAGGTTGCGTGAAGAAAGACAGAAAAGAGGCAACATTTTTCTAAACATATTCCAGAGTGGATCAGTAGACAGCAGTTCAAGACTGAGTGGCAAGGTGTATTTGTCTTGTAACTCTCATGAGCTCTAGTTAGCTTAGCTAATGCTGGAAGCTGCAGTCTAATGATACATAGAGGGCTATACCCTGCAGTAAGAGTTGATTCAACCCACCTGTTACAAAGCTTTGAACGTGCTTGATGAGAGCATTAGTGAAGAATAGCCTAGCAAGTAGTATGTTCTGTTCTATGTTCAGACTACTGATGCCTTATGGGAAACTTATATGGTAGACAGCATTTGATTAGGAGAGCAAAGAAATATTAATATGTGCTTTTTAGTATCCAGACACTTAAGTAGGAGGGGGAATTTACAGTTGTAAATCTCTGGTCCAGCCAAATGTCCAGAAACTTCCAAATATAGCCAGTTAAAGTCTGAACTGGTGAGAACCACAGCCTCCTAGGGGAGTAACTAAACCAACTTGCCTGATCCATTTATTTATAGTTATTGTAAGAACGTTAGGACTGACACATAAGAAGAAAGAGCTTCAAGTTCCAGGAGCCATGAGGAAGCCAGCCATTCTGCCAGCTGGCAAGAACAGCAAGAAAATAAAGCATCCGATGATTCCGTACTGATGTAAACACACCTGTCACTAGAACCTGAAAACTCTGAACTAATTGCCTGAACATTTTGGTGCCAAGAGACCATTCTTTTGGAAGCAAATATCTTGTGCTTAGGCAGTTGTCAGAGATGTTCAGTGCTTTGTATATGTTCACTTTGATGGAAAACAGCTGGGTTACCAGAAAAGGGCATATAATTCCAAGGAGGGGGAAGGAAGATGTGCTACTCTTTTGCAGTAAAACCAACAAAAAGTCTTAAAATATTTTGAAGACTTCACCGTTTTTATTTGGTATAAGCTTTGAATGCATGGAGTGCTGCCTTCATTGAGAGATTATTATCCACATACTAAAGTGCGTACATGGGGAAATATAATGAAGTGGGATAAGAGAGAACAAATGCAGCAAGTACAAATAGTGGCCATTTTCTTAATGTAATCACCAATGACTTACAACAGTGTAAGCTACAAAATTTAATCGGCTTTAAATGTTGTAATTCCTGAAGCACCATAACAGAAATCCTTTTTCCCTCCTCAAATGTAATGTGAAATTTACTACACTAATCCCTATAGTGTGATTGCTGTAAAAACAGAAAAGCACTAACATAAAAAAAGATGGTCCCACACAGAGTAGTTCCTACTTATCATACCATCCCCTGTGCTATTATGCAGCTTATCAATTTCATCTATTTTAAAGAAGCTATCCATGTAGTACGACAAGGCTGTATATTGTCTCCCTGCTTATTTAACTTATATGCAGAATACATCATGCGAAAGGCAGGACTGGATGAATCCCAAACCGGAATTAAGATTGCCGGAAGAAATATCAACAACCCCAGACATGCAGATGATATCACTCTAATGCCAGAAAGTGAGGAGGAATTAAAGAACCTCTTAATGAGGATGAAAGAGGAGAACGCAAAAAATGGTCTGAAGCTCAACATCAAAAAACTAAGATCATGGCCACTGGTCCCTTCATCTCGTGGCAAATAGAAGGGGAAGATGCGGAGGCAGTGACAGATTTTACTTTCTTGGGCTTCATGATTACTACAGGTGGTGACAGCAGCCACAAAATTAAAAGATGCCTGCTTCTTGGGAGGAAAGCGACGACAAACCTAGACAGCATTTTAAAAAGCAAAGACATCACCTTGCCGACAGAGATCCGCATAATCAAAGCTATGGTTTTTCCAGTAGCGATGTATGGAAGTGAGCTGGACCATAAAAAAGGCTGACCGCTGAAGATGCTTTTGAATTGTGGTGCTGGAGGAGACTATTTAGAGTCTCCTGGACTGCAAGGAGATCAAACCTATCCATTCTGAAGGAAATCAACCCTGAGTGGTCACTGGAAGGACAGATCCTGAAGCCGAGGCTCCAATACTCTGGCCATCTCATGAGAAGAGAAGGCTCCCTGGAAAAGACCCTGATGTTGGGAAAGTGTGAAGGCAAGAGAAGAAGGGGACGACAGAGTATGAGATGGTTGGACAATGTCATCAACGCTACCAACATGAATTTGACCCAACTCCAGGAGGCAATGGAAGACAGGAGGGCCTGGCGTGCTCTGGTCCATGGGGTCATGAAAAGTCGGACACGACTTAACAACTCAACAACAACAGCCATGTAGCTTAGTGAGCTAGCTATCTGATTGTGGAGCCCCCTATGTCAGGAGTTTCAAGGAGAAGGATATAAACCTCTTTGTACATTGAATTTCTGTTTGCCTACCAGCATCCAGTGAAACTTTTGCCCTCTACAGAAGTCTATGAAACAACGAGCATTTTCTCAGATGAGGCAATTAACAAGAGTCTCACCTCTTGAGAATATATTTACAAGAACACAGGAGATTAAACTAACAAGAAAAAAAGCAACCTTCCTTCACAATCGTTGCTAATTATGAACTTGAATCATGTCACACTGAATATGACAGTCATGCTATACTGTAGCTATGAGTCTTTTAGAAGTTCAAGGTAGCAGCCACTGCCACACCCAACACGTGCAATGTTTCAAAGAAATATTCAACCTGGAAACTGAATATTGCAAAAGAATGTAACCAACTGACCAAAAATCAGACTCTTCACATGGTCACCTATTTTCCTTTAAAACAAACTTAATGATGGATTGGTTTTATTTAACCATGATTTAGAATTAATCGTAGCAATGACCAAATGTAAGACAGATACACAAAGCAATATATTTCTAATAAGTTTTGTTTATTTTGCAGAATACTTTAAAAATACAATTGACACAATCATTCATAAACATTGACAAGAAGTGAATACTGAAGAATGGATCACTTTTTAACACACAGGAGCAGTCAGAATCCTATCCTCCCTAATACTGTGGACATGCTGCAGAGTGGCCACCGCTACAGCCCAGCAACATCTTACCAGGGAGCCTCCACCCCCACCGGCACTTTCTATTCAAAATGCAGTGCTTTCCATTCACATCATATAGACTTAACAAATACAAACAAAAACTCATCGTAAGTTGCTCTTAACAGACGGCAGTTATTCGTATTGACTGCCCTTTATCAGGTACAACTAGTACAGGCCACAGGTAACTGAAAACGCTCTGTATAAGCAGTGATTATTCATCTTCAGATGAGAAGAAATGGGAATCCCTCTTTCTCTACTACATTTTTTTAAATGGATAAGAGTTCTTGCCCTAACAGTTGTTCCCAACCTTGCAACTCCAGAAACCCTTGTCTGCACGGCTAGTGGTGAATGTGTCTTGGAGTTGAAACATAAGCAGTGATTATTCATCTTCAGATTAGAAGAAATGGGAAGCCCTCTTTCTCTACTACATTTTTTAAATGGATAAGAGTTTTTGCCCTAACAGTTGTTCCCAACCTTGGTTCCTCAGACGTTCTTGGACTGCAACTCCAGAAACCCTTGTCTGCACAGCTAGTGGTGAATGTGTCTTGGAGTTGAAATCCAAGAGTATCTGGGGAACCAAGGTTTTGAACCATTGCCTTAATCTATCAACATACTGTACTAGGCAATCACAGAATTCATTAACTCAAAACTAATAATTTACTGAAAATACTGACACTTTGGATAAGAACCATATGACCAGCAAGTAACTTAAATTATTCCCAATTTTTGTACTACTGGTGCAATGACCAGCTAGTTTTCTGTTTGGACTTCAATCCCAGTTCTAGCCATTTCTTCCTACTTGTATGCTGTGACATACTTGGGTCAGTTTTTCAAACACAAGACACTTTTTCAATCTGCTAACACACTGAGATTCTGTAGGGCAATCACTGATGATGATAATAATCATTTTCATTTTCCGTTACACTGACAAATGGGAAAATTTGTAACGTGTCAGCTGAAGGGTGATCTTACAAAATTTATGTTCATTTAACAGAGTTAGGCTGCAATCCTATGCACATTTTGGGGGAGCAAATCCTTCAGAAGTCACTGGTGTCACTTCTGAGCAGACACATAGGGTTGCTCTGTCAGTTTTCAAATTAGATTTAATAATTCACATTATATATGATTTAGAATCATTGCCTCAGAACACAGATAATGGAAAACAATGTTTGGTTAGGATTTCATGATGTTTAACAACTCTCAGGTTTGAAAGAATGAAAGACCTGTTCACTTCTATCTAGCTTAATAACAACTTTCTTTGGCACCAGATCTCCCTAAGGCACTGTTTTCTTACTTTAAAAAACAACCCTATAATCAAGGTTTGACTTGACAGTGACCTATATAAAACTGCTGATTTCTTACTGATGACCCTGCTTACTTTCTGCAGGACATTAATCTTTGGGTAACTGAAACTGAATACGTATAAGCATATAATAAAACAGTATTTGTATACATTAGCAAGACATGAAAAGTGGCAATCTCAGGAATTTCAGGTGACAGTCCCAAATTATCAAAAACTACAAGCAATTCTACAGCCCAAGAAAACTTATTTCAACGATAGGGAAGCTAATTGAACAATGTATCTCTCTGAAGTGCTTAAGCACATACATCTATCTTACCAAATAAAGAACTACATTCAGTATAACATTCTCAGCTCCATACCAGAACATATGCCATTCAACATGGAAATCATTAGCACTGGGAAAAGGAAGATACATTTACAATTGTGCATTAAATACGTAGTCAGAATAGGCTGCCAGAATGATACAAGTTAGGATTACAACTTTAAATGCTTTAATCTGAGAAATCAAAGAATATTACAGAAAAAAGGGATAACAAAGAATGAAAATTTTAAAAATTATCAAAGATAAAAAATACATTGTAAATGTACCACTGCTTGAGCAGTAGCATTTCATGGAATATTTGCTAAGAATACTTATTAGAATATTGTTTAGTGGCAGATATAGCATCTCGGAAAATTCTGCCTTCAGTTTTTTCTTAATCTAAGTGTTTGTAGAATTTATGGAAAGTGATGGGAAAAGAATTGAACTGCAGAGGAAATTCTGCTAATGGCTCAGAAATTGGAGAAGTACAGATTTATTTTATTTTATTTTATTTGTGCAAAGTAAAGCCTTGGTTGAATGACTGCCAAAATTCACATCAGTGTTATCCTACTTCCCCAAACAAAAGCTGCTACTTCAGATGCAGCTGTGGAATTTATGATAGCTATATGTAATAACATGTCCCAGTTTGCCGTACATTGGTTTCAAGCACCAGACGCAGCATGATTTTAAGTTTTTGAACTGAACAGATGCAGTTCATTGAAGGTAATGAACTTTGGAATGCAAGACCTATGAGGAAATTGAAGAAAAATTATGTCCTATGATAATTGGGATTATTTCCCAACCAATTTCTGGAATATACAAATAATAAAACTGTTAAATACTACGTTTCTAAACAATACAATAAACTGCCAAGTGCTTTTTCTAAACAAAAGTTAAAACACGATCTGTCACCTTCCTTCCCTCGTTAAACAGAAAAATACTTAAAATTATAAAAGATATATCTGACAGAAATGAAATGAGAACAGAACAATCTACTAGTGCACAGTAAGGATAAGCAGTCGCGCCCTGCAATGTTTCTTGGCATTTAAAAAACCAAAACACTACAGGTGATATTTCCGCATCAAGACAGTGCCAAAAAAGTACTTGTTACATTGTAAGAGAAAGAGAAAGAAAAGCTGATTTTAAAAACAATAAATTTAGAACATAGTATTTTCATTTCAGTTATCAGAAACAAAACCAGCTCAATGGTTCCATTCTACTGTATGACAAATACTGAGTAACAAAATTTGTTTTTTTAAAATAAAGTAAATATTTTCCTTCAAGGAAAATGTGTTACTATAAATAAATTACAATACAGTGAATTTGCCTGAACTCACTTTGTTTCTGTATTCCAGCTTTTTAAGTCAAATAAAACAACATAAAAACTGTACACGCTCTGATAGGATACTTGATTTCTTTTTAATATAAAATATGTTGTCTTCAGTAATGTCAATTTCACAGCAAGGAAAAACCAAGCCTTGCTGCAGTCACTATCATAAAATACATATATGTATATATTTATATGTTTTGGGGTTTTTTTTTTTACAAAATGTGTATATTAATAGTCTTTGATTGAAGATTTTAAAAATAAACTGAACTAGTTTAATAACTTCATTTTAAAATAAGAATAGGCAGATAAATACTTCATGTTTACAAAATAATATGTCACACATCATCCGCTGGCAGAAGAGGTATGTTGATCCTTGGTCTTGTGAAAAATGCCATCTTCTCCCTGTCATAATTTGGAAATATTGTATAAATATTTAAATAAATACTTTGGAATGCTTGCAGGTTTTTTAAAACAGAACTGATACAGGCACCTTTCAAACTTTTGAACAATCTATCTTATCTAGGAAATAGACTCAACTCAATTTAATATTGGTTAACGGTCCATTTAACTAGAAATCCCTCAGCAATAGATTTTGTGGTGCTGAAATGCATTTCCACATTCGTCCAGTTTTGAAGAGGCCATCTGTGGGAGTGATATTCAATATACACCCACCCACAAACTGTCTTCTTTGTCTACAAACTGACAATGTTCCCAGGAAAAATAAAGGCAAATCTTATTACATTTCCAATCCTGAGTCAATTGCAGCTTGTACATTTCAATAAATTCTACCATACATACATGAGTGTACACATGTATGAACATTGCCTAGTTAAAACTTAAGAAAAACAAAATACAGCCAAACTTGTATTGTGTATGTCTTTATCTTCTGCCTAACACTGGGTCGCAAAATCTCTCCAATTGGTGTGTACATGTCTGTAATCTGACTTATACTAATTGATACTGGGTTGTGTTCAAATTGTACCACAACAGACCTCAAGTGAAAGCTCACATAGTTGATCCCCTTTTTCAAAATCCTTCCACAAATACCACTCTCATGGAGAGAGCAAAGCTAGGGAAAAATGTGAGATTTCTTCCTGCATGTAAAGGAGAAGCATTCAGTTCTATGAAGCCCCACATAAACTGTGAAACTGGATAGTCAAAGGCTTATCAGCTTAGTTGATAGGAGTTACACTTTATTTTAGAGGACCTGCCAGTTCCCTTGTAATGTACTGCTACCTGTGCAGAATTTAAAATAACTTATTGGTGACAAACCCACCAGAATCTGCATTAAAAACATTTTTAAAAAATCACTATCCATTTAGCAGGGCCTCTCTGGTGGAATTACTGTTATATATGCTTGTGGTATGAAAGTATGTACTAATGTTATGAATCCCATATGAAATCAATCCAGGAGAATATTAAGGAACGAGCAACATGAGGAGAAGGAAGAAATAATAAAGGTGGTGTGAAAAAGGTAACTGCACTGAAATTTTCAATAATTAACTTTACTGTAATTTTCAATAAATATAATTTCTGTATGCCTGAGTACAACTGAGTGTATTTGCATGTAGTTGGGGTAAAGCTTATTCAATTTACATTTAACACCTTACCGAAAGGTCTGCACTTGAACAGGTTCTTTCTGGTTTTGGCCACGCAGCTGATATACTTCTTTGGATGCTTTTTTAAGCAATTTTTCAGCTGCTTGCTGCTGACGATGTTCAAATTTAGTCTTTCTTGTCTATAGAGAAAATACATGGGAATAAAAATGACTTTTTGAAAGAACAGTAGCTTTATAATGAATGCTATTTTGTTCAAGCAATATCCCTTTGGATAGGGCATCCTCAAGGCTTTACTCTTCTTGCTTCGAAGGCAAAGAACTATCAATTCCAGGGCAACTACAGTAGAGAAACAGTACTTCCCTCCAAACAAAAGGAGTATATAGCAAACCGCCAGTATCACTCATAATAACAAAAACAGGGAGACAAAGCAAAGTACATGAACAAAGAGCAAAAGAAAAGGCAGAGCCTTGTAAGCAAGGTTCCTTCTAAGGTGTGCAACTGTGTGAGCGCACACAGTACTGTGCCCCCCTCTGTGCAATGTCCCTCCTCGTCTGCTCACCCTCGGCCCCTATCATTCTGGTGATGATGGAAAACCGTGGGGGGACCGAGTCATAGGAACAAAGTCATGGGGGTGGTGGAGTCCCACCGAGCAGGGCTGAAAATTAGAAGGAACGTTACTTGTAACTGTCATCAATTTTTCTTTTTTGTAAGAGTGCCACACTCTTAGATCTCTTACTGCCAATCTGAGATGTTTTGACAAAAATTAGGAAAAGCTGCCCCCCCCACATGCCTTATGTAATTTGCAAATCCAAACTTCAACAGAAAAAAGTTGCCTGAGCATAGTAGAAGAACTCATGTACACCATGTGTATTAGCACTTTTTCCTCTATGGCAGTAGATGTGGAATTTACAGGACACAGATACACACCTTTAAAACCTTATCAGAAAGTGTTGAACTACACAAGTTCCATCTAACCAAAAGTGGACTCTACTACCATTAGTCTACCAGAGAAAGGACCCCTGCCAAAAGCAATCACTACAGAAGATGAAGAATTATCAGTGAATGATACACTAGTAAGCTGTGAACCATGCTGCACAGGTGTCTCATAAGAGTCTAGTAGGAAAACCTACAAAGACTACTGCAAAGAAGAATCTTAGGGGGAAAGGTCACATGGTAAATCTCAGCATAGTTCAGTACTGAATCTGCACATACAAGTCAGTTTCTCCTCCAGGAATCCTCCAGACCCAGAATTTTCACGATGAAATGGTGTACACAGAGTCCCCACCTTTTGAAAGCATGCCCACGATGCAAGCAAAAACCAAATGAAACCAAAATAGAACAAAACTGGAAGCAAAATTCTAAAAAAAATAGTTTTAACAATTACAGTGGTGCCCCGCTTGACGACGATAATCCGTTCCAGCAAAATCGCTGTAGAACGAAATTGTCGTCAAGCAAAAGTAAAAAGCCCATTGAAATGCATTAAAAACTGGTTAATGCGTTCCAATGGGTGAAATACCTCACCGTCCAGCGAAGATCCTCCATAGGGCGGCCATTTTCCGGTGCCTGTAATGCGAGCAATCCATCCTGAACACAGCGGGGAGCCATTTTGAAAACCCGACGAACAGCTGTTTTTGATCGTCGTAAAGCGAAAAATCGGTTCCCAAAGCAGGGAACCGATCGTTGTCAAACGAAAAACACCCAATGAAACATTGTTTTGCGATCGCAATAGCGATCACTAAAAACTAATTGTACAGCGGATTGGTCATACAACAAAGTAATCGTCAAGCGGGGCACCACTACTAATCATACAGCGGATTCGTCATACAACAAATTAATTGTCAAGCAGGGCACCACTGTATTTTTGAATTTGGGGGCCTGGTGATGGGTATATGGAAAACTGGCCCCAAAATGTCCAAAGTTGCCCATACCTTCTTTAGCCTATTGGTCTAGCAAAATACTATGTTATTTGTATGAATTAGTTAAATGGCTTTTCTGCATTCTGTTCTGCAACCTTCTTATTGTAGTGAAGATTAAAATAGTAAAACAATAATTTAAAAAAACGATGAAATGAAGCTCTTTAGCCCACCACTTTATGAATACCTGGATACATTTCTGCCGATCCCAAAGATGTCATACCTGCCTTTCTGCTTCCTTCAGTAAGTTTCGGAATCGTTCATCCCGAAGGACCCAGTGAGGCAAATCAGTTTGACCAGTAAGCTGGGCATCCTCTAGGCGCTGCCGCAACTCTCTTAGAACAGATAATTCGTCATTCAAGTGCCTCTGCCTTGTTCTGGAAGCCTGGAGATCCAGCTCCAGGTCCAATGAAGTCCGTTCCATAAGGTCAGCCAGAGATGATCTACATGATTGCTGAAATTGTAATATAGAATATGACAATACCACCAAATACTCTAAGTGAACAAAAAAGCAAGCTTCCTCCTGAAAGTATGGTGCCACTATATCCAAGAAAGATGCCTGAGATAAGCAAATATAGCAGGGGACAGTGGGGGAAATCTTTGTAGTTGGTGTCCAGGTCAAGTTGCATCAGGCACAAAGATACACAACAGGAACACGCGCACTGTCTGCTTGTTTATGTGACACACATACAGTGGGGTCTCGACTTACGAACGGCTCGACATATGAACGTTTCGACTTACGAACTGCTCTCATAGGAATATATGGACTCGACTTACGAACTTAGATTCAAGTTACGAACTCTTTTTTTCCTTTTTTTTTTAAAGCTAAGTCATCTTAAAAGGAAAAAAGAAAAAAATATCCCCCTCTAGTGGCAGAAGGCGGAATAGCAGCTTCCCATTAGTTTCTATGGACGAAAAGAGCAGATACGGATTAAATGGTTTTCAATGCATTCCTATGGGAAATGCAGATTCGACTTAAGAACTTTTCAACCTGAGAACTGCCTTCCAATACGGATTAAGTTCATAAGTCGAGACCCCACTGTACTGTATATGTCCAGTGAAACTGTATCTGAGAGAATTTCAAATCAAGTCTTGCAGAAGCATACACTAGTATATCTCCTTTCAGCTTAATTTCCTCCTCCACTGTTTGCTTTAACCGTGCATCAGTTATACTAGCGATAACCCAAACATAGTTATGTCTTGTAACAGTAGTAGTGGTGGTGGTGGTAGTATTGGTAATATGGAAATCTCAGTGTGGTGACTAGGACTCAGAAGGCTTCGACTCTAATCCCCACTCAGCCATGGAAACTCACTGGGTGGTAAGACCATTCCTTAAATATCTCACACACCTTAAAAGCCCTATTAGGATCGCTACAAATTGGTTCCACCCTCATAGCACACAGCAGTAGTAAATGTTACATTTATAGTCTGTCTCTACTCCAATGAGCACAAGGCTGCTTACACAGTTCTCCACCAACATCAATATAATGCTAAGCCACTGTTAGAGCAAACTATGGGAGGAAGGTTGGAATTCACATGACAAAATAATGTGAACGAGAAGCTACACAACCCAATTCCTTCCCAGAACATT